CTCTCCGGAGCCCAGCAGGTCGAGGCTGCGGTGGCCGGGAGCGGCCACTGCACTCCAGTCTGGGCGACAGAGTGAGACTCCAACTCAAAAAAAAAAAAAAAAAAAAATATATATATATATCATGAGGCCAGGCACAGTGGCACATGCCTATAATCCCAGCATTGGGAGGCTGAAGTGGGAGGACTGCTTGAGTCCAGGAGTTTGAAAACAGCCTGGGCAACAAAGCAATACCCCAACTCTACAAAAAATTTAACAAGTCTCATGAACATTAATGCAAAAATCATAAACAAAATATTATCGAGTTAAATAAGCAACATATAAAAGGATAATACTTCATGAACAGGGTGTTCTTCCAGGAATGCAAGGTGGTTTCACATTTGCAAGCCAATCAATGAAGTTCAGCACATAAACGGAATAACAGGAAAATTTATGTGAGTATCTCAATAAAGGGAGAAAAAAATGACAAAAATAAACACTCTCATCAAACTAGGCATAGCAGGGAGCTTTGTTAAGCTTTATTATGATCTCCTTGATAAAGAATATCTAAGAACATTTTCAGTGTTACATTTTGAATACATTCCCTCTGCAATCAGACATAAGTCAATAATTTACATTATTACCTCATTATCACTTCTACGTTGTTCTTGAGGTCCTGGCAAGTGTAATAAGGCAAGAAAAAGAAATAAAGGTATAAAACTTGGAAAGGACGAATTAAATGGTCATTATTTTATGTTGTAGGATTGTATATGTAGGAAATCCAAAAGAATCTACAAACTATTAATAAGTAAATTTAGCAAGCTATTTTAAGAATTTATTAAAATTAATAAGTAAATTGACCTGTACACAAGGTAAATATATAAAAATTTAATGTTTCTATACGCCAGCAACAATCAGAAAATAAAACTTTTAAAAATACTACGTAAAAAGTAAAAAAAGGATTGGGCTTGATGGCTGTAGTCCCAGCACTTTGGGAGGCTGAGGCGAGTGGATTGCCTGAGCCCATGGGTTCGAGACCACCTCGGGCAACTTAGCAAGACCTCGTGTGGGATTACAGGCTGAGCCACCGAGCCCAGCCAAAAATTATTTTTTTTAAAAAAGAATAAGACGGGCTCAGTAGCTCATGCCTATAATCCTAGCACTTTGGGAGGCTGAGGCGGGAGGTTTGCCTGAGCTCAGGGGTTTGTGACCAGCCTGGGCAACTTGGTGAGACCTCGTCTCTACAATAAATCAAAAAATGTTCGGGCATGGTGATGAACACTTGTGGCTCCTGCTACTTGTAAGGCTGAGGTGGAAGGAGCACCTGAGCCCAACAGGTTGAGGCTGCGGTGGCTGTGAGCGTGCCACTGTACTCCAGCCTGGGTGACAGAGTGAGACTCCAACTCAAAAAAAAGAAGGCATTCAGATGGCAGATAAGTACAGAAAATGCTTCCCAGCATAATTCCTCACCAGGTAATACAAATTACACCCCCAACACGCTGTTACCACACCTCTACTAATAAAGACTAACCAAAATAAAGACCAAAATAAAGACTAACAATTCTGAGCCATTGGAGTGGTGTGTGCCTGTACTTCCAGCTACCCGGAGGCTGACGCTGGAGGATTGCCTGTGGCCAGGAATTGGAGACCAGCCTGGACAATAAAGTGAAGCCTCATCTCTAAAAATAAAATAGGCCAGGGGCGGTGGCTCAAGCCTGTAATCCCAGCACTTTGGGAGGCGGAGGTAAGGGGATTGCCTGAGTCCACGGGTTTGAGAACAGCCTGGACAACTTGGTGAGACCTCATCTCTACAATAAATCAAAAATTAGCTGGGCGTGGTAGCGCGCACCTGTCGTTCTGGCTACTTGGAAGGCTGAGGCAGAAGTATCGTCTGAACCCAGCAGGTCGACAATCGGGTGGCCATGAGCATGCCACAGCACCTAGCCTGGGTGACGAAATGAGACTCCAACTCAAAAAAACCCCCCAAAAACATAAAATAAATAATTTTTTAAAATAAAAAGAATGTTAATGGCAGCTTTATTCATAATAGGCAAAAACTTTAAATAATCCATATGACCATCAACAATAGCATGAGCGTGTATACATAAACTTTGATGTAACCATATCATGGAACATGACACAGCAATGAAAACAACTGCCACTCTACCACAACACTGATGGATCTCTCTAAAGACAAGTGGCAAAAAAGAGTACATACTATAACACTGCATTCATATGAAGTTCAAGAACAGGCCAAAGTAACCTATGGTGATAGAAGTCAGAATACACACCTGTAATCCTAGCACTTTGGAAGACCAAGGCAGGAGAATCATTTGAGACCAGAAGTTTGAGAACAGCCTGGACAACACAGCAAGACCCCATCTCTACCAAAAATAGAAAAATTAGCCGGGCGTGGTGGTGCGTGCCTGTGGTTCCAGCTACTTGGAAGGTTGAGCCTGTGCACAGCAGGCTGAGGCTGCAGTGGCCATGAGTGTGCCACTGCACTCCAGCCTGAGTGACAGAGTGAGCCTCCAACTCTAAATAAATAGGGTTCAAATCTGGCCCTGTCACTTAGCAGCTGTGTGACCTTAGACAAGTTACTTCATCTCTCTGGTAGTCTTAGTTTCAACGTCTGTATTTTCCCCTCCAAGGATGCGAGGGAGGGGAAAATAATTTTGGTAGTTGTAAAGCTCAGATCAGTGACATAAGGATCCTTTGTTGGTGGCCCTGGGTCACTGCCCAAGCAGTGCTGCTGGGGAGGGCCCTGCAAGGGGGACCAGAGATCTTCGGGGACAGGATGGGCCCAGGAGCCGTGCTCAGCAACTCAGAGACCTCACCTCCTCCTCAGCCTTCCTCCATGTCTGTGGATCTGCAGGGAGACAGCTCCTTACAGGTGGAGATCTCCGACGCAGTGAGTGAGCGGGACAAGGTGAAATTCACTGTTCAAACCAAGGTGAGGCAGCATGGGCACGAGGGGCAGTCCGGTAGGCACCGACCAGCACAGCCCTGGGGCCCTGTCCCTCCACCTGACACTCCTTGAAAGCGAGCATCTTGTGTCATCTCTGGTCGCCTTTGCCCGAGGCCCCAAGGCCCCACCATCCTGCGTGAAATCACGGACACCTGAGCCCCAGCCTGGGCGGTGGGATGAGGGATGCGGAGGCCACAAGTGGGTGTCCGGGATGCTTGATGGGAGCAGGTGTGGGGCGGGGCAGGGACCTCAGCCAGGCCTCCCACTTCCAGAGCTGCCTCCCCCACTTCGCCCAGACCGAGTTCTCCGTGGTGCGGCAGCACGAGGAGTTCATCTGGCTCCACGATGCTTACGTGGAGAACGAAGACTACGCCGGCCTCATCGTGAGTGGGGCGGGTGCGGGCTGGTGGGGCGGGCCGGGCACTCAGAGGACCCAGGGCTGTGACAGTCTCCTGGGCAGTGGGAGGTCTCCCAGCTCTGTTCCTCCTTTGAGTAGATACCCCCGGCACCCCCGAGGCCAGACTTTGAGGCTTCCAGGGAAAAGCTGCAAAAGCTGGGCGAGGGGGACAGCTCCGTCACCCGGGAGGAGTTTGCCAAGATGAAGCAGGAACTGGAAGCGTGAGTGCCACCTCCTTTCCCAGCCCTCCCCAGAGCCCCGGGGTTGCTTCCCTGGCTGTCCCTGCTGACCCCGTGGATGTTTAGACACTCTGACCTCTGACCCCAGGGCTGCCAAGCGGAAGGGGGCAGGCGGGAGTACAGGTGCTGAGGAGGCATGTGATCTGCCTGTCTGCTGCTCCTGCAGGGAGTACCTGGCCATCTTTAAGAAGACAGTTGCGATGCACGAGGTCTTTCTGCAGCGCCTGGCAGCCCACCCCACCCTGCGTCGGGATCACAACTTCTTTGTCTTCTTGGAATATGGACAGGATGTGAGCTGTGCTGGAATGCTGGGGTCACCCCCGGGAAAGGGGGCTAAGACTGGGGTGGGGGCGTCACTTGGCAGGGCTGGAGAAAGGGGCTTCAAGTGGGCTCAAGCTTCTGTGAGTGGCATGGGACTTGGCCTGGGAGATGCCCCCCACAACATCACCCCCTTCCTTGGTGTGCCTCAGCTGAGTGTCCGAGGAAAGAACAGGAAGGAGCTTCTTGGGGGATTTCTAAGGAATATCGTGAAGTCTGCAGATGAAGCCCTCATCACCGGCATGTCAGGGCTCAAGGTAACCCCAGGGCTCCCCTCTGGACTCAACCCAGGGCCTCAAGTCCACAGCAGGGATTGAGGCCGGGCCCACCACAGGTGCCCGTACTGCCATGCTCCTTGGTGACCCAGTGTAAGTGGCGTCCTGTCTGGCTCCCTCAGGAGGTGGATGACTTCTTTGAGCATGAGAGAACCTTCCTGCTGGAATACCATACCCGCATCCGAGACGCCTGCCTGCGGGCTGACCGTGTCATGCGCTCCCACAAGTGTATGCGGAACCCAAGGGGACCTGGATTCCACTGCCCCTCTCTCCTGGGGAAAAGGAGAGAGCAGGGAACGCCTTGGTGTCTGTCTGTGGCCACTAGCACCAGGGGTGGGGTGTGGTGTGCAGACCCAGGGGCTCTGATGCGAGGTTGTTCCCCAACAGGTCTGGCAGACGATTACATCCCTATCTCCGCTGCGCTGAGCAGTCTGGGAGCACAGGAAGTCAACCAGCTAAGGACGTGAGGACCCCCAGCCTCTCCCTATGCCTGCAATACTGTGTCTGCCCATGAGGGGTCCCTCTGTAGAGTCTGCTGTCAGCTCTTGGTGGGAGGTGTAGACACTCCTGCGGGATTCGGGAGACCAGGGGAGGGAGATCCCCAAGGAGGGACTGAGGGCAGAGAGGCTTTGTGCTGGCCCTCAGCTCCCTGTCCTCACTCCTCCCCACGGCCTCCTAGGAGCTTTCTCAAATTGGCAGAACTCTTTGAACGGCTGAGGGTGAGTACTGCCTCCTGTGCTCAAAGGCTCCGGAGCGAGCCTTTCAGGGAAGATGAGTCCTGGGAGAGGGGCGTGCTCCAGGATCGTTTCAGAATGTCCGGTGATAACTTGGAGCCAGTGACACCCTGGGCTCACACTTGAGTAGTTTAATAAGGGGTAGAGTGAAGAGGATCCAGTCTTCAGCGTGTCTGTGGTGGAGGAGACACAAGGATATGCCCATGCCTTGGGCAGGCTACATCAACTGCCAATGCGCTGCCCAGACGCACACTTCTCTAACTCTTCCCCAAGAAAGTCCCTGGAGCACCAGCCTTCCTAAATGGAAGCTACCCAAAACACAGAGCCCCCTACTTTCAGTTCCTTGTGACCCAGCCACTGACCTTCCCTGCTTTGCCCAAGTGCCCTCACTGCATGAACTAAAGGCTCCCACACCAGGCTTGCACCAGCTGCAAAGCCCTCAGCCCTGTCTGGCCAGCTCCTACTCAACCGCCAAGATCTGAGTCAGATGCCACTTCCTCTGTGAAGCCTTCCCTGGCCTGCTCCCCTGAAAATCAGGGCCTGACCTAGAGCGGTTACCAAGTGATTCTTTGCTGGATGTTTAGATGAAGAGGAGCCTGCCACCCCTTAGCTGCCCCTCTGGCAAGCTCCCTTCCCAGTCCCCACCTTCCTGATACAGAAGCTGGAGGGCCGGGTGGCTTCTGACGAGGACCTGAAGCTGTCGGATATGCTGAGATACTACATGCGAGACTCCCAGGCAGCCAAGGTGAGAGCCCCAGAGCGGAGGTCAGGGCTGGAGGCCAGTAAGAGAGGGGCAGCTGGGGAGGGCAGGGCTGCGGGCAGCAGTGACCGGTGCCCGCCGGCCCTAGGACCTGCTGTACCGACGGCTGCGGGCGCTGGCCGACTACGAGAACGCCAACAAGGCCCTGGACAAGGCCCGCACCAGGAACCGGGAGGTGCGGTCTGCTGAGTGCCACCAGCAGCTGTGCTGCCAGCGCTTCGAGCGCCTCTCAGACTCCGCCAAGCAGGGTGAGCCCACAGCCCGCAGCCCTCCGGGTCACCTGCCCTGCCCCGGGGCCCTATACCACTTCCCTGTCTCCAGAGCTCATGGATTTCAAGTCCCGTCGGGTCTCCTCTTTCCGAAAGAACCTCATCGAACTGGCGGAGCTGGAGCTCAAACACGCCAAGGTGAGTCCTCAGGCTTCTCTGAGCCTCGATGCCTCTCCACCTCCCTCTCCTAGGGCATGAGGATATGTGTATTCTGGGGGTAGGGGGTCAGACATGCCCATCTTTGGCCAGGACCTTCCCTTCTCTTCTGATCACTGGAAGGCCTAGTAAAGGGCAGCTGTTACTGCATATGACAGGGTATGGAGAGAGGAGAGGGAGGAGCAAGGAATTTCAAGATCTTTCTCCTCTTGCAGGCCAGCACCCTGATTCTCCGCAACACCCTTGTTGCCCTAAAGGGGGAGCCTTAGAGCAAGCAGCGAGAGGCTGGACAGACCCTGCTCTGGGACCCTCGGGGCAAGGTTCTCCCAGACCCTCCTCCCCAGCAAGATGCCTCCTTCCCTAGCAATGTGGCTACTAGCCACACCCTTCCACCACCCCACATCCTCTCAGGGCAAGCCTGAGCCCGACCCCCTCCCAAAGGTGCCAGGTCCTGAAAAAGCACCATACTTGGCCAAAGCCCAGCTGAGCCTCGGGGACCCTGACCTTCCTCCCCAGGAGGCTGAGGGACAGCCTCTACCCACCCCTCGGGCCTTGAAGAAGTAAGCTCATTTGCTCCCAGCCTGTTCTTCACAAATTAAAGGCCTGATTTTGTAGCAAGGGATTCTGCTGTCCATCCTTCCCGCAGCTCAAGGGCCACCAGGCACACCTTCTGCCAGGGCATTGTGAAGACCAGGTCCCAGGGACACTAAGGAGGGCACCACTGCAGCACCCCCTGCCTTCTCCAGTGGCAGCAAGCTCCCCATGGAAGGTGTGACACCCGGGACTTGGAACTCAGAAGTCTTCAAGGTTTGCCCCCACCCCCACAAGCCCTAGCACAGACCACACTTAAGACTAATCACAAGTTCCCTACACCTATTTTCTAACCCTCCCTCCCTCAGCTGCTGACAAGCTCCAGGAGCTAAGGGGCCAACTCTCTAACTTCATGAGGTTTGCTCACTTTTTCAGTTCAGCTGATTAGGGAAGGTTAAATCCTGCATCACCTGCCCAAATCCACCTTACCCTAAGGGCAGACTTCTTGGATTCCTTCACCTGCTGGACAGGTGAAGGTACTAGCTGGAGATAGCCCACGGCGATGTTGGCAAACACCTGGGACAATGGCGACACCCTCTTGGTTAAACAGAGAGGTGGTGCTCAAAACACCTGGGTCTGAAGTCCCGGGCTCCACCTGGTTGGCCCCACCTCGAATGGACTCTAGCCATTCTACAGTAAGCCAAAGGCTCATTTTGGCCTGACTCATAGCAGCCACTGAACCTCACCATCATAAATGTGAGTCAGCCACCCAGTGACAGAGCAAAGAAAACCAAACTTCCTTGAAGATGGAGAAAGTTCGCTACAGGCAACCTGGGGCCTGCAGTGATCAGCCCACACCTGGGCAAGACTAGCGTCTCAAAAGCGGACCTCACTGCCCACCCAGGTGAGGCTACGGAAGCAACCAGCTCAGGCATGATCCATTCCTGCTTGAGGACCTCTGTAGCCAGTAATGGACACCCCCTGGGCTCAGCCACCCCTTAAACAGCAAGTCTGCTGCCAATCACAGCACTGCTCACAAAAGAGTGACGACCATCAAAGGCTGTCAGCCAGTTTCTGGGCCCAGATGAGGGTGTGTTAGAGGAGAGAGATTCTGCTTGTTCTCGCAAAGGGCTCCTGGACCCCAACCCTGAAACAAACATCCCATTAATGAGCCTTTTTATTATTGTCTTTTTTTTGTTGTTTTTTAATCGAAGGTCCCTTACTGGTCCTGCTTCCATAAATGGCCATGACCAAGGGAAGAGGGAGAGGAACCAGCCGGCAGGGGGAGGGGTCATCTCCACAACATTCCATTTGTACACAGAACTAAACAGACAAGCACAGAGTCACTATGCGGTTAGAAGTTGGCAGCATGGGAAGGGAGAGGAACAGGTGGGGAATGAGGGTTTTGTTAAAAAAAATACAGGCCCCCCCCAAACTGGGGTGCCCGGGGGGAACTTGGTCTGCTTCAACCCAAGAGGAATCAAGATCAAAAGCGGTTTGGGAAGGCCAGAACCGTCAGGGATGGAGGGAGGGAAATCCAGGGGGTGGGGGGGCTGTTTGGCAACTGGGGTGAAGGGATTGCCCTCCCCCTGCTGGGATCCCCCCAGCCCCCCCGGTCTGGCAGGGAGGGGGCAGCCCGCAACCCCCGAGAGCAGGTCTGGGGCTGCCAGATGCTCCAGGCAGGGGACCAGAAGGGCTCACAAAGGCTTGCCCTCCAGGGAGATGACGGCGCTGCCCCCCAGTTTCTCTGCCAGGGTGCAGCGATCCTTGACCTCCTCGTAGCAGTTTGCTTGTAATTCGTGCTTTATTCCTGCAGGGAAGAAAGAGGACTATCTGTGAGCAGGAAGTACTGGGGTGGGGGTGGGGATTGCTGCGACTGGGAAGGAGCCAATCGAAGCAGATGGGAGACAAGATCACCTCCCAGCAAGCAGGGAAGAGGAGGGAGAGGACCCCCTCCGCCATGCCACTCACCCCACTCTGCAGCCAAGGCCTGAAGAGAGGGCACATGACACTGCCGATGCGGGCCCTTACCTGTCAGCTTCTTCTTGATGGCGTCCTTGGAGCTGGCATAAATCATTTTACTCTTAAGGGGTGCACACTCAGGAGCCCTGGAGAGAAGCAAGAGTTAGGGAATTGGTAGCAATGGCAAAGCAAGAATGACCGCAAGAACCCTTGGGCCGACTGACAAGTGTTCTGTTGCAACCCCTTCCCCAAACCCACACCTCTGGGGCCAAGCAGGAGCTCACCAGAAGATAAACACCAGGTCCTCCTTCTTGCTCTCCTTGGTCTCGTAGGTTGCATCATAGAGGGCATAGCGGCAGTCCTTGTCTGGCAGCATCTTGACAAAGGTGGCGTAGGGGTCATCGACAGTCTGGCCCACATCACCCACCAGGATCTCCTTGCCCTCCTCCAGGATGATGTTCTTCTTGTCCTCACTCAGGCAGAAGAGCACCGCCTTCTTGCGCTTCTTCACCTCCTCTGGTGTGGAAGACTTGCGCACCTTCATGTCATTGAACACCTTGATGACGCCATCAGAGACAGCCACACCGGAGGCCTGGCGGACGAGCCACACACACATAAGGAAAAGGATTCTGGGGAATCGCGCCCTTTGCTTTCTCAAGAGCTCCCCAGTTTGGACACCAGCAAGTATCAACACCAGCCTCACGTCAAGAGATCACTAACCCCCCTCCCCAGACGAGGCTCAAGTCACTGTTTTCCCACCCAAGCCACTTCTCTCTCTCATGGAAGACTTGTAAAAAGCAGACCTGCGAGATGAACCCAAAATTCAAAGAATGCACAGGCTACCGACTCGTTTCCTACTCACAGCATCCAATGTTAGCTTTAGATAAAAATGCTGACTTTACAGGTCAGAGGAGGACCCAAACCCGAACCAGACTCGTCTTCAGAATAAAGCAGGGCTTCACGATGCTAGACGGGACACCAAGGGTGCTCAACTGTCCCAGCAAGTCCTTCCGAACTGCTGGATACAGTTAGTACACAAACGACCCTCTGCCCTGCAGGGATCGTTCCCAAAAAGCCAAGATTCACAACCCCAAATGAGGACCCTGCCCGACAACTCCCTATGCAATGGCTCAGGGTCCCAGAGATCGCTGACAGAAAGTAACAGGCCAAACTCTAGTGCTCGAGAGCTCTTTAAACTTCCACCGTGTGTAGAGCTGGGGGACGCCATAGCCAGGGGAGCGAGTGACTGTCCACAGCGAAACGCGCTCCCCCTCCCCCCGGAACTGCAGAGGAAGCCGGCCACGTGACCCCGCCGCTTCCGGAGTGGGCGGGGCAAGGGGACCGCCGAGGCCCGGCCCCCTCCCCAAGAGAGAAGTCCGTACCCGAGAGGCAGCAGGACCTTCAGGGCATCCGCCCCAGGGATCGCTTTGCCACCGGCATGGGGATCAGCCCCGCCGACCGCGGGCAGGAGCCGGGGCAAGTCACACAACCGTCGGCTGTCGCAGCCCTGGGGCCGCGCACAGGACGCGGGGTGCTTTCCGGGCGGTGTCCGCCTGGTCACTTCCCTAAACTCGGCTCCACCCTCAGGCCCCATCCGGGAAGGCCCGGCTAGCCCAGGGACTCAGCCCCGGCGGCCGGCCTGAGCGAGTGCGCACGCGCCGGCGGCAGC